GAAGCCATAACTGAGTGGGATATAAAGATTTTTAGTTTTTGTACCATTAATTTTATAGAACCTTAAAATTTAAGGCTTATGTGTCCTATTGAATTAGAATTAAGAGTTGTGAATATGAATATGAATGAAAATTACTAAACTTAATCTTGAGGTCCTTCTGATTAATCTATAAGATCGGTATTTTTATTTAATGTTGAAGGAAAATCTGCAACACCAATTTTTTTTTTTATAATTTACTAAAATGAGATATTTGTTGGAAGTATCCCTTATCATAATACTAATTGCCATAAAATTAAGCAATTTTAAAAACTACTATTTAATTTATAAAAAGATAGAATAGACCTATCAAAAATATTATGTTTTAAAAATAATAAATAAAATAAATTAATAAAAGAGAAAGCGCCCGCTCGCGGCTGAAATGTTATTATCTTTATATTAATAATTTATGATATATTTTTTTAAAATATAAATTATGTGAAGGTCTAGATAATTTTTACGGTATAGAATTAATTCAATGCTGACCATTATTTTAATTATAAAAATTATCAAGTGTATGTTGCTTGAAAAATAATCTGAGACTTCATAAAAAAAAATGATGTTTAAAATTCATTTTCTAAACTAATTACTCTTTACATCGTGGTCTGATTTACCACTTCACCATACTTATTTTCTTCTGTATAAGAAATGTCGATTTTTCCCCATAACCTTATATATAAGTGTGAGGTAGTCATCTAAACTGACGCCGCATACATAAATTTTCAACTTTAATATATGCGAAGTTATCAAATACCTAAATATAAAAAAAGGAGAACAATTTAATAACTTAATACAACACACAAAATTTTTTTTAAAATGCTGCGAAAAAATATACAAGGTGAGAGCTGTCCCGAACCATGCAAATTTTTAAAAAAACATGTTTTCTTGAAAATATTAAAGAAATTAAATTTAAAAAACAAAAATGATAGATGGAGCTCAGCTTTCTTTTCTTAATCATTAGGAAATTTAATTTTATTTTATTGGAAAAAAATTCGCCAAATTATTTTATTGTTATATGTTCAAAATAAAAAAATTAATTAAATATGACTTTCCCCATTGAAGCCTTAGCCTAAGTTGGCGTAGTTTATATAGATTTTATTGAATGTGGAGGGAGGGGGTGGTGGTGGTGTCTAATAAAATATTGACTCCTAAGCATAGGCATAGCCAAGATATTGTTGTTAATAAAAAGAAGGGGGGGGGGAGGTTAAAGCGCTATTAGATTGGTTTTCTCTTTTCTTGTCGTATATTTTATTGGAGATCTTTAAGCTCACCTATTGCAGGTCTTTGGCCATGTTAGATTTTTGGTGATAATTTTGTTTATCACTTTTTATATAAAAAATTATAAATTATAGTTATTCTTTTAAAAAATTAATTTTGATTACCTTTCTTTCAAATTATCGTTTATAGTGATATATTTTTGACATTTTGGGGGAAGAGTGGGTGAGGGTGTTGGAGAGGAAATTTTTATTAGCTTAAGATGATATTTATGAGACCGGCAAATTTTTGAAGGGGATTTCCTATTAACCCCCACCCTCCTGGCTACTCTATCGTACTAAGTTAACCATTAAAGAGGTCCATGAGTTTGGTATCAAGAATTAATTTGAGCAACGGATTTAGGCATCTGTTAGATTTTACCGAATGGTAGATTTGGTCCATAATAAAATTTAGCATTTCTCATAATCTTATTATTTTAAAAAAGGTTCGGTTTATAAGGTTTCTTTTTAGACTAATTTCTGTTTAGACTTTGGGGTTTTCGGTTTTATATTTTTGGAATCAATTTTACTACAGAAATAATTTTGTTTTTCTTTTTTTAAATAAATGCGATTAATAATTTTATTTTGTTTTTTTATTCAATATATATGGTATCCCAATAAATAAATAAAAATTATAATAATAATAGTTTTTAAAATTAAAAATAGGAAAAAATAATTAATGAATATAAATTTTACTTTTTTATATTTTTAATTTTTAAAAATAAATAAATATTTATTAATAAATTTTTTATATATAACAATATATTTCCAAAAAAATAATTTTTGACAAGAATATGATGATTTGTCAAAATTCAAAATTTATTTCTTTAAAAAAAGATATATATATGACACATATGTCATTCCTAATAGCTCTTATCTTCTTCATACTTTATTTTAGAAATAAAGCTTATCAATTCAGGATCATCCTCGGGTCAAATCTCCTAGCTTGCTGTAATGATCACTGATAAAACCTCACGTAATTAGAACTAGACTTATCCCACATCACTTTTTAGTCCGAAAAATTTATACTAAGCTAGGATTAAAGTAGTGAGCTTGTTTTAATAATTTCTAAACTAAACATATAACTTCAATAATAATACTTCAAATCGTTCTCGGCTTGAACTATGTAGAAAATCAAGATGTTCTCAGGTTTTATATCATATATACAATATAGGGATGAAAAAAACGTCGGGAAAATACAAACGAAAAAAAAACAAACGATAATTATTTCACATTTGATTTTATTGCTATATATTTTATTGCAAATTTTTATAATTTTAAAATACAATAAATTTAACAATACAAATACTAGATAATATCGAGCATTCTTACATTGAATATAAATTAGTTGTATTGAATTTTGTCAACAAGATGTAAAAGATCGGTGCCTGCTCATGAAGTTGATGTTAGAAGTAAAATATCATTTTCTGCATAAGCATTTATCATTCTTACCAATGTATATGTCATTGCAACCAACACTTATCTTTAGCTAGATCCTAAAAATATTTCCATTGTTCTTTCGATGTTGGTGTTTTTTTTTCACATTTTTTTCGTTTTTTATTCATATTTTTTTCGTTTTTTATTCATATTTTTTTCGTTTTTTATTCATATTTTTTCCGTTTTTTATTCATATTTTTTCCGTTTTTTTTTATTTTTTCAATTTTTTCTGTTTTTTTAAAAAAATTTCCTCGTTGTAAAACATTTTATATATTTATTTTTTTGTTTTTTTCAATCCCTAATAAAATAAAACCAACATTTATATCAATAAATATATTTGTCTAAAAAATTACTATAAATTTTAATATACTACTAAATTTAATCTCTTAAAAATAATTAATAATATTCCATTTATAAATCTTAAGTCAGAGACAATTTAATATATAAATTGAACCAATCTTATTAAAAATATTAGGTAAGAATATGATTGGTTGAATTTTATTTATTTATTTTTAAATATTTTGCTGAATGATATTTTTATTATAGAAAATTATTCAACTATTTTTTGTAAAAAGATAAATAAAAATGAGATGGACCGGATAAAATTTAAATAAAGGAAAGAGCATATTGGGTAAAAAATCTTTATGGATTATAAAGATGCTGAAGAGATTTGTAATTTAGTTACCTTTTCCATTGTTTTTCTTACTTAGATTGTATACTTTTATGATATATTTTTTAACAGATGATTCTTTCTCAATGGTCACTTATATCATTACTTATAAGTTTTTTTTCTAATTACACATTATCTGAGAATACAATTACTTGACTCTTTCTCTAAAATATTTATTTTTCAAATTTATAAAAATGAATAACAATATATATATATATATATATTCTATATATTTATAATAGAAACTTTTTGAATAATATCTTCTAAAACATTTTTAATGATATTCAATAGATTTATATTCTATTTCTTCTTTAAATAAATACATGTTGCTATATAATCTTCCATAAACTGGGACCTCCCAGATTTAACATAATATGTTTTCAGGCTTCGCCAAAGACGCTCTATGGACTGGGTATTTATGGCATTAGCCTGGTCCTCAAAAAGATATTATTTTTTTAACACTATTAAAAAAATTATTAAACATTTATAAAAAAGTATTAAAATTTAAAAAACTCATTTAAAAAAAAATATATGTAAAGATTAACCACCAATGGTTTTCGGTAATAAAAATATCATTCAACAAAAAAATATTTAAGAAAAAAAAATAAAAAAAATTCACACAATCATAAGACAGATAAATAAATAAAAGAAAACCAATGGTAATCAAACCATAATCTTACCAAATATTCTATAAAATTAACCATAATTTTTTATTAGATATCTTAGAAAAAATTTAAGAAAATTCAAATTTTTTGCTGAATATCTGCCTACATCCGATCATACATCTTTAATAACAATAGTCCAAAATCAGTTGATAGCTTGAACCACTAGTTCAGTAAAATCAAACATATATCGTTGCTATACAAAATATCTCTAAAGTGTCTTGTTTCATATCATACTTAAACTGAAACATAAGTTAAATTAATAAATATGATATTTGTCTAGAAAATAAAAATAAGTATTCTCAAATTTAAACTTATAAAATTAATTAATATTTTTCTTAACTCTCTTTTGCACATTGTTTTCCCGAGGTTCACATGAAATTAGGCGCATTTTTTTGCCAAGTGCTGAAATTCCAGGTGGGTCCTAAAGAACCGATTGTGTCAGAAACAATGAAAAAAAGTGATATTAGGAATCTTAATTTATTTTTTAATTTTTCTAATTTCCGCTGTAACCAAAGAATTGGAGCTAAAGGATGTGCAACCCTATCAACGCATGAGCGGGATTCTGTCGTTCCATAGAAGAAGTGTCATACTGTCATAGCTGATATTAGATTACGTCCTACTAGTTTAAAGTTGATGAAATCTTGTTAGAAAGGAAAGATATTGCAATAATCGGATTTATTGCTTTGGTGGCATGAATGCACCTTATTCTAAGGAAAATATATTAAATTTTTTATAAACTTAAAAGTTTATTATTTTTGAATACTTACATTTTTATTATTAAATATTCGATTTATATCATTGTAATATTATATATTACATTATTAAATTAGATTTTAAATCTTGATAATAAAATAAATATATATGATTAATCTATTAGAATGTTAAATTTACATTTTCAAAAAACACCCAACCATCGCTGCCATAGGGTTATTGACGATTGCGATACGATAATAGTATGATTTCATACATGCACTTATAACAACTCATGTTATATATTGTTATTTTTGTGTTAGCATACGATTTTATAGACTCATTGCTACCGGTACAAAACAATGAATTTAGAGAGATAAAGTGCCTTAATGGCCTGTGGAAATTCAAGGTCCTTCCATCACTTAATACTACGATTGGTTTTGATCAAAATTGGTATGATTACCCCATGAAGAATTTCATATTGATGCCTGTACCCTCGAGTTACAATGATATAACGCTGGATTCAAATATTCGCAACTTCTTAGGTTGGGCATGGTATCAAACAGAGATTTATATTCCACCATCATGGATTACAGAATATAAATACTTATCTTTAAATAATATGTAAGTTGAAATATTATTTTAAAAAAATTATATATTTAGTTTAATGATATGGCAGCGATCATGAAGAAAAAGCATCATTCAAATATATATTGAGATTTGAAAGTGTTAATTACTATGCCATGACTTGGATTGATGGTGTTCTAATTGGATCTCATGAAGGTGGACATTTACCTTTTGAATTTGACATATCAAATTTTGTTATAACATCCAAAAGTAAAAATATTTTGTTATAAGCTTTATTTAGTTAATTCTATTGTAAATTTATACTGGATTTTTAAAATTGTTGAAATCATATCCTTTAGAGAAACCCCACTGATTCCAAAGATCTCTTAATTTTTTTAACAATCTAACTTATACATTATCTCAAATTTGCTCTACATCTATTATTACATTATGTGTTTTATATATCTAAACATTTTCATGAAACTTTTCTATGTTTGAAAGCTGTTTTTAAGTTTTAAAATTAAAAATAGCATTTGGTTATAGAATGGCATGTGCATTTTGCTTAAGCAAATACTTTTAAAATATATTATTTATCAAAGCTTATTATTTCTCAGACATTTTTTTTCCAATTAAATGAAACTTATGAAAGTATGTGTTAATATAATCTAAAAAATAATTATATGAACAAAAATATTATGCATTGATCAAAATTCATGATAAGAAGAAAAAAGTTAAACAATTTTTTTTTCTATTGCTTGATTCTTATATCATTTCAATTGCTATTTGAAAAAATGCTATTCCTTCAGTTGCAACATTCTACATTGCATAGGCAACCCATCCTGCATGGCCCAGATAGCATATGCCCTTCCCTAGAATTATTCTAATTCTAGTTCACTCTGTTTAAATGTTGATAACTGTTGAACTTCATCGAGTGAATAGACCAATATTTTAAAAAATAGCAAATAACATTTAAACAATATAAGATGACTAATTTCAATAGAATAATTAAATATTTGTTTTGATTCATAGAATAAACAAACTATATTCTTCCAGCAAAAATAAAACAACTTTTTTAATAATAATAATATATGTCCATCATGAAAAATATTTTATGGTGCCTTTGCTGCCTAGCATTAATTAGTCCACAAAACCAAATGCAGTTTGGAACTGCTGTACCCCATCATATTTTAGTTGGTACATAAAATATTTATTTAAATTTGTTTATTTAGTGGTAATATTTATTTTTTATTTGATCTACGAAATATGGCGGAAAATTTTTTATAATGCACAATCAAATTAGCTATTTTATACAAAGCAAACATTTACAAAATTAATCACATCCTTGTTCTGCCTCCTTTCCCAATTTATTTGTTAGCTTGATTTATATTAATATTTTAATTTGGGCAAAATCCAAAATTTGTTTATTAACCAAACCAAAAATAAAAGTCACCATCCTAAAAACTTAAGTCATAAGAAAGAAGCGGGTTTTTTTTTTGGTTCTGGGTTGTTGAGTCCGATTTATATAAATATTTTGCATAATCGTTTGGTTGAATTAGAGACTACCATTTTTTAAAAAAATTAACCGCTCTCCTATTAAAGTAGTCGGAAAAGAAGCTAATACGCTATGTACTATCCGGTGATCGGGGAATTTAATCGCACGATTGACCACCTTTCATGAGAATAATGTCTGACATATTTATTTACTGTTATATATAATAACCTTTTAAATTATTTTGGGTTTGGACCTCAAAACTGGAAAAAAGCCAGTACGATCACCTGATTTATCTGTATATTCTTGGAGTTATTTTAAAACTCATCGCTGGTACTCATTTATACACATCCAAAATAAAACCGTTATTGATCACAGACAAACACCCCAACCGATGCTTTACAGGTATCGGGTGAAATTTGGAGCTTGCACACTATGCCAATCTTTTTTTCTGTTAAAACGAATTAAATATTAAACGTGAATAGCCACTCCACTACCCAATTTTTTTAAAATCAATCGTCTATTTAAATTGAGCTTAAAAAACAAATGATTATTACATGCCAAAATTTCTCCATACCAGGTGGACATGAACCTCCTCTCTTTTTCCCCTCCCAAGTGAAATCTAACAGATACATATGCTGCAAAAAATTCACTACCTTTCTTTGCATAATCCCAATAAATCAATAGAAGATATGGGCTATTATAGATTTTTTTTTTTAAATTACAAATTATTTATATTTCATTTTTTTTTATAGTGGCACCTCATCTTCTCACCGTGGCCGTTAACAACACGCTTACTCACTTCACTATCCCCCAGGCTGATATCCATCGAAGTGATTTTACTTCTGCCTTTGAATCATCCACATACGGTTCATCGACATTTTTTTTACTAAAGATTTACATTTTCTTTAAAAATGAATTCTATATTGCAATTTTATAACTTTGAATTTACGAGGCACCTTAGTTTTTATTTACAAATGTTTTTTTAGGGCAATAAGAACTTTATCTCAGAATAAGCCACGTTTGGAGATCTTGCTGTAGATTTACAGGTTCCCTTTCTGAATTATTATAAATATCGCTAAAAACAAAAAAAATGGGAAATTCTTATATTTCCTGAATTTTTTTTAAAGCAAATTTGAAATATATATTAATAAATGTTAGGGAAATAAACACATTTGTGTTTCAATTTAATTTTTTTAAAATCAAAAATGGGGGAAATATCGATATTCCCAAAAGATTTGGGAACAATAATGATATTTCCTCCCATTTTGGTGATTTTTTTAAAAACTCAATTTATAATACAAGTTTACTTCCCTATATGGTAAGCGAGATTCCTAATTTTTAGCGATTTAAAACCTATCCCGTCCCGATAATTATCAATAGGTTTTATTTAAAACTTAAAGACCATACATCGAGAGGACCGGGCTTTAATTTATATATGGTTTTTATAAAAAATATTTATCTGAGACCTGTAAAGATCGACATTTTATGCCCGGCCGATTTTTTGGGGAAAAATATTTTTAAACCCCACGTCTGGGTTTCCTGAAAAAGAGATAATTTTAGCATAAATTTTTATATTTGATTTAACCCTGTCAGGGCTTTTCTATATGCCCAGCAGGTCTCTCAAATAGTATATCAAATTGAAACTTACTAGCTTATGCATTTTAATCTTAACGTATATACTCCTTCCGCGTGTTCAATTAGATTGGCCCTCTGGGTGCATATTCCCATGGAAGGCACATATATATAAAAAATAGTCGTATAAGATTTTCACAAGTTTGGCCACCTTGAGCTCATAAAAAATGTGTTTTTAGAGATGCATCTATCAAGTCGATACTCACGGTATCGATGTGAGTAGCTGTATCGATCGATACTTTCAATTTTAGTAGGTGCAAGTGGCCTTTGCTTAAAAATGATAAATAACTTTTTAATAAATTTTTTTTTTTTAAAGTCAACATTAGAGGTCGGCTTTAAACTGACCCCGTCCAGCCAAATTTTCTATCTCGTTTTTAGCCCGGCCTTAAATAATTTTACTCAAGACGACTCGTAAAATATATTTTAAACCAGTTGTCCGCCCTAACCCGAAATTTTCTTTTCCCGAACTAGTCTGCGGACTGGGCTTCGGACTATGTTGGCATCTCGTCTACCCGCTATAAATTATTTTTCAAGAAATATAACTACATTATTATTTTTTGATATCGGCCCTTACCGTGTTTGTATCGTGGTATCGAATTGAGTATCTGTATATCGTTTAAAAAGGTGGTATGCGCTTATCCCCATATTTTTTTTAGGTATTTTTTTACCATTTTATTTTTGAATATATTATTATGCCAAAGAAAATATTGGCTTTTTAAAATTTTATATTGTAGATAGCTAGAGAAAGAATTTTAGAACGTTTTTTTTCGGGCCTGACCCTACCCGTAGAATTTTTTTGACGGCTCGGTTTGCCCCACCATAAAGAAAAAAATCTGGAAAAATAGTTTCTAACAAATTGCCCAGCCCGAGAAATGATTTGCATTACAAGCCCGGGCCCGTGCAGATCCTTTAATTTGAATCAAAGTGATTCGCATGATTTCCTAAAATAAAGGATATTATAATTCTAGTACATCAACAACATCATATCTATTTTGTAAGAACTCGATGGATATTAGCTATCGGAGTTAGGCTTGATGATTCATAACTATTTATTAGCTTTTGTTTGAGTTTATTATAAAAAAGAAATATAAAAATGCAAATTAATCCCATTGAATATAGCTTATTAATTCCTTTTGATCATCTCGCTCGACAGTATTTTAAAAACAAATTCAACATTTGAAATTTTTTTTTTGAATTTTATAAACGAGAAATCTAATCTTATATTATTTTTCATCACGCGACAGAATATGTGGATAAAGCGAGCGAGATCAAAAGGAATCGCGGGAACTCTTTTTACCCATCGGGATACATCAAACAGCAATTGCTATTCGATTTTTTCAATTACGCCGGCATCCATAGAAACGTTTACCTGATCAAGGTGCGTCGGTCTTACATAGCCGATGTGTCAGTCAAAACGGTTGCCGCTAGGGTATTTATGGAAAAAATCAAGAGGCTCGAGGACGATGGGCCCAAATGGGTTTACGACTACGGTAATATTTATACAATTTTGCTGGTAAAGTTTTAGCGGAAGGGGGGGGGGTAGGGGTGGGTGAGCGTCAAATGTTTCTTAAATTTATTTTTATTTGACCCCGGGTTTCAGGCCTACTTGTAGGGATATAAAGGAGCTGTGACCACGACAATGATGAATCGTCCCTTAAATCGATTTTCGTTTTAATATGCGAATCAGAGTCTTAGAATGAAATAAAGGCCCGGCCTAGGCCCGAAAAAATAAAATGTTATATTTCCTTCTTTCTTTCTTACCTTCCTATTTAATTCTATTTTTTTGCATGATTGTATATATCACGATAATAAAATTAATTTAAAAAATAGGTAAAGTTTCAAAAAATAAATCAGGAAGGTGGGACGTGATTAAAATATGTTTCTTTAATAATTCAACGGGGTTGGAAGCACAAAAAGTAATTTATATACTGGATAGGGTTTTAGTTTTTAAAACGTTTAAAAAATGGCTCTTTATTTTATTCATGCCGAATATAATTTATATAATAATAAATGACTTTAAAAAAGATGTCGTTGACGGACTTGATATGGGATCTAGAAATGTTAGTTCCGCTCGGATCGATTTCGATGTTACCGTAAATGGGATCAGTGAGGAAGAGCTGAAAAGTTATTTAATGTCAATTTGAAATTTTTTTTATAAATGATATAAATTATTTCCTACCATTCGACAAATTGTTTTTAATTGCAATCATAGTATATCATTCTAATCTATGCCAATTCAGCGTACGATTGGACTTGCACCATCGCTATAAGGGGAGATCCCGAAAAGTCTAGCTCGTCTAAGTACCTCGACCCAATCTTAGTGAACTTATCGCGTTACCGCACCCATCCAAATGACCTAGATAGGCAGGATGATGGATTCCAATCTGTATTTTTCAAGCAAACGGTTTTGTTGGAAGACGTTCAATTTTGGTGGCCTCAGTCTATGATCCCGGACTTGGCCCCTGGCTTCTTGTACACCGCTAGAGTGACCTTGATGAGAGCCCTCAGGGTTCCTTCCAACGGTATCCATTTAGGCGAAGAGAACCGAGTTGTGATGGACGTGTACACGCAACCTTTCGGTGTCAGAAGCCTAGAAATTAAATCCAAACCCCGCTTCGTAAAGGGCACAATTGATGAAGCCCTGATCGGTTCCGAAAACGGAACTCATCGTAATGATACGCTCGATAGTTCTAAATCATCGCCCCCTAAAACGCGTTTCCTGGTGAACGGTCTCCCATTTTACTTTCGAGGATTCGGCTGGCACGAGGATTCACCCATAAGAGGGCGCGGTCACGACCCGGTTTACACTGTGTCCGATTTCGATAAAATATCTTGGCTGGGTGCTAACTCATTTCGGACCTCTCATTACCCTTACGATGAGAGCGTAATGGACATGTGTGATCGCATGGGGATTGTGGTTATCAACGAATTGCCAGGTGGGTTATTTCATAATTCCTTTTATGACAAACGCCGATCAAACCCCAATTTTGAACTCATAATATTTCACCTCAATATTTATGAATTAATGATATTTAAATTAAGTTAGCTATCTTAAGTTACATATAAAAATTAGGTCTGTGCCGATTCACACCTACGATCCGATATTGTTAAAAACTGATCCGATACCGGTCCGATTCGATACTGGTCCGATCCGATATTTGTATTGATTTTTATTTACCATCTATCTTTGTATCAATGCCACAAGAATATCAATTTTTCTTTTTGAAAAAAAACCAACTAACTTTCCTAATAAGTGTATTTTGTTTTTTTATTCTCCAAAATTTAACAATTTATTTATTTGCAATGTTTATGGGTGAATGTACAGTGTTGTTGAACAGCTCCATTTGGCTGATTTTTAAAAGGGTTAAATCAATATTTTAGTCAAAATATTATAACCTAAGTCTCGAGATTTCGCCAATAGAATCCAATTCTCTTTGCCATATGTGAGAAAAATGAATAAGCTTGAGTAATTTACTTTTGGCTAAAATCTTGGTTTTTATAATTGAACAAAAAATAGGATAATTTTAACTCTTTTTTAAAAAATTGCCACAAATTGTATTTTAGTTCCTTTTATTAATATATTATTATGAAATTATTTATACCTTTATCTTAAGAAATAAGTATTATTGATATATGTTATATATAAAATAAATTATAATATTTGAGAATAAAAATTAACGTTGGTCTGAAATTGTGGTGCTCTTGCAAAATCGTATAAACTGGAAAAAACGATTTTAAAATTTAGATTCAAATATGGAATACTTACAGATTAATATTAGTAAAGATATTTATAATACTATATCTAAACGATAGCCTAAAAAAATCTTACTTAAAAATATTTTGTAAGAATATTATTTGATAAAATTAAAATACAAGTAAATTAAAATTAACACTTTATTATGAATTCGTTTTTTTGTTCAAATGCTCCATTCATTTTTATTTATGATAGTTTATTAAATAAAAGCACAATAAACAGAGATAACTAATAATCAAATCATATAATAAAAAGAAAGAAAACGCCGAATCTTTATTTAATTCTAATTTGTTAATGGAAATAATAATTTAGCTGAATAAAAAAATTATGGAAATATTTAACCGATAATTTTTTCCATACATATTTTATATAGTAATTTTTTTTTATAAAATTTAAAGATGCGCACAACGGGTGATTATAAAATAGAATAATATCGTAGATAGCGCTTATATTAGCAATAATTACTAAAATACTTCGAAATTGTTAGTGCTCTAACATGGCTAAAATTTAATATTTTTAAATATAGTTTTTATTTATATATTTATTGAAAATTAATCAAATAAAATCTGCTCCTAACTTAATCTTAGAGATTTTATTTTGAGCACTCCCATTTCAGACAAAAAAGGAAAGAAAAAGAAAGAAGGATTAGATTCAATATTAATTAGATTAACAAGACAGTATAAATATCAACAACAAAAATATAATATATAAAATAGAAGTGACGAACTTTAGTGGTTGATCTGAATTAAATACTGCTTGAATTATATAATATTTTAAACAATATATATAATAAAATATTTTTCCCATATTTTTTCAAGGAAAAATTTAAAGTAACGAGTAATTTGTACTAAAAAAAACTCGTTACTCGCTACCCTTTCTCCACTAAAAAAGTAACGCCTTTAGTAACGACGTTATTTTAAAGCACTACTATTGAATAATCATAAAATTTATTTAATTAATATTTTGTGATAAAACTTACTTAAAAGCTACCAAATAAAAATGGATGAAACTTCACAGAAGTATAGTTTAGAATATAAGAGACTCCTTGAAAAAAGAGTCCAAATATTATCGCTTCACCGACGATCAATATTTTATATCTTTTACTCTTATAAGATAAAAAGAATATAAGATAAAAAGAATTAATTTTTTTAAAAAGAAAGAAGTTAAGTTTATCCTGATATTATTTTTTGATTTCCAGGTCGGAATACCTTGAATTTACTTGATCCGCCTAATTATATTAAAATGGGAAGGCCTAAATATACTTTTAAATTAACTTTCTAATAATTTTTTTGAGAGTCAGTTGGGCTATGAATTTTATTAATCCTAGTCAGACCTCACTCCGAAATTATAAGTTAGTTTTTTTTTGATATGAAAGTGAAAGTGAACAATCGGGCAAATCACCTGGAAGCCCTCACTCTTGAATTGTGGGTGGGCAATCTATTGAAAGAAACGAAGTAGTTCTGTAGAACGACTATATTTAGCCAATTTTAAAATTAAGATTTTAGCCAACGCAAACCATGAGATTTCGTTAATAGATGAACCTTTCTACCATCTATGAGCAAAATCTCCATGCTTGCATAATATTTTTTTGGCTAAAATATTGAGGCTAGTCATTTTCCATTAAACAACAATATAACGAAAATGTGTTTCAAAAAAATCCCAAAATTCAAATAATTTTGTTTTTCTTATTCGTAAATTTAGAAAATCCCATATGAATATTGAATTGTTTTTTAAATTAGATTAAACTGATAAAAAATTTTTAGTGCTTTATTTGAATAGTTATAAATATAGTATTTAAAATATTGACAAAAAATAGAGTGTATTAAGGCATTACAAACTAAATTACATTTTCATAAACGTCCTCAACAAGAACAAATCATTCAAACAAAAACGGCAGCCCTTGTCGGGATGGAGATTTTTTATTTATTTTATAACTCGGCGATATGTTTATTTTTTAGGCCTGTCTTGGATATGTATTTTACATCATTTTCAGATAATTTGAAAGTGTGAACTTTTTTAAAATCGGCTCGGTTAGATTTTTCATGAAAATGTTAATTGGCATTCATTATTTATTTTCCGTCCAGACTGGGCTTAAGCTTGGGCCTGCAGGTCTCTGAAATATATATATACTTTTTTTCTCCATCTAGCTGTAGGTGTCCGGTATTTCAACGATAAAACCCTGGCCCTTCACACCCAAATGGCGAAAGAGCTATACAGTCGAGACAAGAACAGACCGTCCACTTTCCTCTGGTCTTTGGCTAACGAACCCCGTTCCGCTCTCAATGAGAGCAAGAATTATTTTAAGAGTCTATCGGATCTTTTTCACATTCTAGATCCCCGAAGGTTCGTTACAGCGGCCATTTACGAACCAACCGGAAGGGATTTGATAGGTATCAGCTGTTATATATTTTATTTTTTCATAGTCTTTCAATTGAGGAATTTTTTTTTAGGGATGTTATATAATATCTTCCTTTAATATAAAAATGAAACTTCCAATCTTTTGTATTACCTGAGATAATGAGAGTTAGAGGCATAAAAATCGTTCTCTTTACTCTTTATTGATAATATTCAATTTATTTATTTCAAAAACCTGCAGAGTTACTAATTGCACCTCCCGGCTCGGATTTTTTAAAATATATTATATTTAATTTTTATAGATAATAATGGCGATATTTGGTTTTAAAATATATGGTCCGGCCCGGGTATATTTAAAAATTTAAAACACGGCCCAGCCCGTGTACCCGGGCTTAAGGCCGGGCCTGCAGGTCCCTGATTTATTTATTAAAAGCAAAATTAGTTTGCGCATTGATTTTAATACTAATATAAATTAAATTAATGATTGATAATTATAGGGTAAAAATTTAAATTAAAGAAATTCTTTGTTAACCACCATATGTCAATTTTAAAATAAAGTAATTTTTCAAAATGGCTATAACCTCCAATTTTTTTTCTCAAATTTATTTTTACTCTTTTTTCCACAATAATTTAGAACGGTTTCTTAATTTTTTCAAAAAAAATATTGCGAATAATATAAAAAAAATTACAAATGGCACTATTCAGCTACTAATTACCAACAATTAATGTTCGCTAAATTCAATGTGTCATACGCTTTCAAAATTAACCCATCTGTCTTATTGATATTATTGTTATATTACTATATCAGATAGGGATAAGTGGACGGGGTCAGCTGGCCAACCCTCCTAATTTATTCGCGATTATGAGTTAATATCCCTATGTCGACTGAGCGTCGGAGTTTAACTCACCTTTTTATACATGCGGCAGACATGTCATGTCACAGCCAAGTTTATACATATAAATTGAAAAATACACAAAATTTAATGGGTAAAAATTGCCTTAATTCATAGGATTGGTTACTCTACATATGCAGGAATACATTTCAGGTCAAATCAGACTTTCAAAATTTAATAATTGTTCTTAAATGATAAAATGAAAATATTACGAATCCCCATGGTTTCCATATCTCAATACTACACATATATTAGGATCAAAGAAATATGCCCCACAAAAAGCCAATTTGAAATAGTTCACATTTATTTGCGTCCGCATTTTGAAAATGCAATACTACGACAAAGCGTAATACATTCCCAGGTTTTATCATTTTAACCCCCGATATGTCATTTTTCTTTCGATGTTAACCCGTTAATTACCAAGACATAAAAAAAATTTAATTTTATTTATTAATACATTAGTATAAACATATTTATATACCAAAATTTCACATTATATGATTTTTTGAATTTTCCAAAAATCAAACATTGGAAGTTTTGAAAAATAATGAATAAATAAATAAATATAATGCCCTTTACTCTCAAACCTTCACTCTCAAAAATATAACTTAACAATCCTTTCTTAATAATTAAATAAATACCAACAGTAAACATTACTAAAGGACAAACAGATTGTTTAATTTCATGTTATACCATATTTTATTTATGTTCACATCCAAATAATTATAAAGGTTTCATATTCATAAAAATAGTTGAATCTCCTCCATTCTTTGTTCTTCCCAGCTGACATCTTCTCCTCTCCCATTCTCCCTTCTTCCCCCAAGGAAAAATTCATTCTTCATGTCATAAAATGACTGACATTCAGTATATTATATTAAATTTATTTCTTCTTTTTTTTCAGCGGTTACAACACGCCCACCCTTCACAAGTCCAGCGTCCCTCTCTGTGGTGGTGTTGTATCGAATCACCTCTTTGAATTGTATCGGGACACCTTGAAGACGTTTAAGGAATTTATCGAATCGTCTTCCCTTATGATTATTTATAATATAATATCTCCAATACATTTCAATATATAATCACGAAAACACATATTATCAATTATGACATATACATTGGGGTATCTGCATTTATAATCTATGGAACATTAATATGGACAATGTAATATCAGCAAAACATAATAATTCATTCATTTTAAGACATTTGGGAAATAGGATCTATAATATACATCATTTGGGTATGATTAATGGTATTAGGAAATAACGATTTTACATATAATACTGTAATGTGAACACATGATCTATGTGTGAAATGCAATTTCAACACATGTAATTGTCCTTCTGTCATGTAAACAAAATCAAGGCTACATTTTTATAAATATCTCCTAAAATAGATATAAAAAGACATTTTTATGTATTAAAAATGATTGTGCAAATTTGCCAAACAAAGATTTTAAATAAAATTACACGACATATGTATAGAAATAAATTTAATATTTTAAAGGGAGGAAAAATATATAATATGTAGAAAATACAATATTTTTTATCTAGGAATTACTCAGTATCCTAAGAAAAATATACCATTTCTACCTAACTCTGCCATCACAATTAGCACAAATTCACAAAAATGTAGAATGCGAAGTAACAAAAATTGAGAATATAATGGGCTATATGGTATATATGTAAAGAATTTTTAATATACCTTCACAATATAAAATAATTTGAGTTTTTTTTTTAGAAAAAATGTTCTTAAAGTAAATAGTGATGTGCTATATAATTATTGCAAAGATAAAAAAAATGTAATATGCAGCATAAATTTACAAAAAAAAATTTACACAAAAAAAAACTTTCTCCAGTACTAAACAATATTCCCACCTCAAGGCATACCCATTAACATGGCTGACCTTATCTGTAAAAATATTTTCTCTTCACATCATTGCATACCATAAAAATAATATAATAATTGCAAATAAAACTTTTTATAATTTAAAAAAAAATATATATATTAAATATAAAGATTTCATAATTTGGGAAAAAAAATATTACACATCATCTAATATATCATATAAATCCATACCCAATTTATATATATATCATATGCAGACACTAAATCAAAATAACTATCCACCTATAACATTATAGATGTTATTCTGACTTCATCATACTTCAATTCCTTTAAATTATCATTCATAATATATATCATATGTGTAATTCACATTACACCCTATTTCATAAAAATGGTTAATTACTTCAAAATAAACAACATTAACTCACCCTCAATAGATCCCTTAATAACATATCAATCTTAATTGAAACTGAATTTTACATATACAATATATTAACATTAATAATAAATTATCCCACACATGTCCATCCCTTTAAAAACCCCAAATGCACAATTATATAACACATACTTTATTACAAAAGTCCATTTTTATATATATTTTCATAAATTTCAAATATTTAAATATTTAGCAATCCCTTCTGTTCTGCTGATCTTGAGGTCTTATCTTCCTATGACGGAATACCTATAACACCATTCAATGAGTCTTAAAGCGTACCAAATAATAAGACAATAATTATTGTCAAACATTGGATGTAAAATATACATCTAGACATATAATACCACAAATATTATTGTCTTAAATGTCCAAATTGAAGACATCTAATACCACAAATATTATTGTCTTAAATGGGCCAAAATGAATCAAATATCATTAAACAATAATTAATCATTTTATTTTAATTTTCAATCCTAATACTCATTACATACTTTCTATCTTAAACCTTGTAAGCTAAATATTTCAGATAAAATTATAGAAACCCTTAAACTCACCTCTTAATCTCACTTACCCCTGTATAGTTCTTAGTACTTATGTGTTGTGTACCTAAATCCATATGTTGTCGATCCTGGTCAGCTGGCAACACTTTTGAAAAATAATAAATAAATATAATGCCCTTTACTCTCTAAAATATAACTTAACAATCCAAACAATCCTTTCTTAATAATTAAATAAATACCAACAGTAAACATTACCAAAGGACAAACAGATTGTTTAATTTCATGTTATACCATATTTTATTTATGTTTACATCCAAATAATTATAAAGGTTTCATATTCATAAAAATAGTTGAATCTCCTCCATTCTTTGTTCTTCCCAGCTGGCATCTTCTCCTCTCCCATTCTCCCTTCTTCTCCTAAGGAAAAATTCATTCTTCATGTCATAAAAGGACTGACATTCAGTATTATTAAATTTATTTCTTCTTTCTTTCAGCGGTTACAACAGGAAGGAGTTCATTTTTTGGTGAAATAATTTTGAGCATTATATATGAATAAGTACTTCACATTTATCACACTTATATGTCGTATTTATTTTGCAACATTTGCAATGACCACACGATTGGCTTTAATTGACATATAACTTATCTCTGTCTCTCGGATTGAATCAATTGAGCATCTTGATGAACTTTTTTTCATTAGTTTTTGATCCAATTGACATTTTTCGGTTCGATTTATGCGGATTGTTCCTGTACAACGTAAACCTTTTTTCCTAGCATTCTGCAATGACGACTATCATTCCAATAACAGAGCAATTTTTTTATCACTGAAGGTTTCATAAGATCCTAAAAGTAAAAAATTATTAAAGAATAGTGAATGTATTTGAGCTTTAGAAATAACAGCTGTCAATTTGGTCACCACTCTTTCACCAAGAGGACTAGTTTTATTTTCATCCTTCTTAGTATAAATATCAAAAGAAAAATGATATCCACTTCACCAAATTTTACTGGCTTTCCTCGCATATCTTTAAAGTTAGATTTCCATAATAGGGGATCATTTGTTCATCCAAACTTATATTTTCTTTGAATATCCCAAATCGTAGATTTCGACCAATAATATATAAAAATGGTCTGACCTTCGGCAAGTTTTATCGATATTGTTGGCCAGATGTAGATATCTTTTTATTTCTTGGAAACGATTTCTAGACATTTTTTTGGACCTACATCTTCATCTTGAGACCATTATAAATTTTCTGTGGAAGAATATGATATCCACAATATAAAATAATACCTATAAAAATGTCCAAATCCAAATCCATAATGTCAAAGGAATGATTTAATTTTTGATTAGCATATAATTTTGTTTGATTCATTATAAGTGAATACATGTCTTCATCAAAAAACATACGAAATAATTCTAGAGGAGATTTTACATTTATATCTGGGAAAGAATTTTCTAACTGAATTGGTTCTTTTCAAATCATAGTATCCTTTTCACTATTTTTTTTCCATTTTATATTTAAAATTTTTATTCTCTTAGATAGTTGAATATTATTTATCATACTCTAACTATTTATCACAACATCTTCTAGTTCTTCTTTCCATATATCTTGATCGTTACCTTCTTCAACTGTAACGTCTCCTATATTATCTGGTGATAATACAATAATTTCATGTTCATCATTATCCGAATTTTCTAATAATGCGTTTAAAGCTCTTTTTAAATGAACGAATTTTATGCTGGCACTAAAAAATCTAAAAAATTGAAAAATTTAGATATCTTTGTTTACCGATGTTTGAAAATAGAACATTAAAATATTTTACATTATATCTTCGCGAAATGAATACCTTAGATAATATTTTAATGAAATAGTTAAGGATATGAGTTATAGTTTTTTTCTTATAACAATTTTTTTAAGGCAAGTATCTGGACGTAATTTGCTTTAATAGGTACCACGGGTGGTACGAAGACACGGGCGAATTGGAACTCATCACGCCTCAAATGACCGTCGATATAAATTCTTATGGAAACGTGTACGCGAAACCTATTATCATCACGGAGTACGGGAGCGAAACGATCCCAGGTATTTCGTTTATTTTATATAAAAATGTATGAAATAAAAAGTATAATATCTTTGCAGTGTATCCATCCTAATATATACGTAACCGGCAATAATTTGCATAATCAGGCACGGCATCTACTGCCTGATTAATGCAGGCAATCCAGAAAATTTAGGATATAAATATAAATATGGTCAAATTGTAAATTTATAGGATAGATATTTTACACACACTGTTGTACATTTTCAAACAAATCAGATATTAGAATATATATAACACATTTCAATAAATACTTTTTCATATTTTTCAAATTTAAATCATTTATTTAGCTTGTTTTTAAAAAAAAAGAAGATTAATATGATTTTGCCGTTCCAGCATGTATAAAATACCTCCTAATAAAGTTTGGAAAAATTATATAAAATATTATACTTATTGTCTAATAACGCATATTGCGGTTAAATATATAAATATGAATCTAAATAATAAACCCTAAACTATTTATGCTTCTTGTAGGATACCATTCCAATCCTCCTTTAGTGTTTTCCGAGGAGTTTCAAGTCGAGTTCATCAAAAGGTATCATCGTTCTTTCGACAAATTTCGCAATTACAAACCAAAATTTACTAATAACCATTTTAACCTCCATCAACTTTCGAACAATGCCGTCTTTAAACACGATACTGAAGTTATCCTGATTAACAGGGTTGATGATTACACATTTGGGGCTAAGTACCATATGCCCGATGTATCTGTAGATAATTCTAATGGATTGGCTGAATGTTTTGAAAAATCAAATTTGATAGGTATAATATAATGAAATTCTTTACAGTATAATTTACATTTTAATTTATAAAATGCCTATGCAAATTACATCAATAGGCGAGAAGGTTTTTATATGATTATCCCATATTGGAAATTATCGTAATATCATTATATAAAAAAATTTGTATTAGTATTGAATTAACGAAAAAAGTGTTTATCATAATAATGCATAATTTAATACATTTTGAATATATAATTCCTAATTAAAAAATTATATATTAATATTAGACTATTATAATAAATTGAATATTTATTGAACAAGTTAGTGATGATTTTAATATTTCATACAATTTTGACAATAAATTTTTTAAACAAATTTTTTGTACCAAAAATATTATTTCAGTATTAACGCAAAATCATTTATATAATAATAAAATTCTATAATTAATTAAAGCTTTATGCAAAATATAGTATAATGAGGGATAATAAAATATTTTTATTTAGAAAAAGAAACTTATAATTATTTAAAATATTCAAACAAAAAAGGAGAATAGATTTAAATCATGATTTTTATTAAAAAAAATCAATTTGATTTAATCATGCCTATCCTAAACTATAGTAATGAAAGAGCAGATCAATATATTTGCTTAATCTTTTTCGTATATTTGCCCTTTTCCAGATTCACCAGGGTAGGCCAAATACCCTTCTATTCCCTTTATTTCCATTTTCCGATGTCTTGAGCATCACTGCTCAAATCTAGCCTTTTCATATTATTTTATTAAGTTTCTCTGGGTCTTGTTCATAGAAGGTAATAGATCATGGTTTTATTATAGAATGCTCTTCCTGACATCAACCTCTTTCGTTTGCCTGTTACAATTTTTCGAGGAAACTATGATCTTATTCTATCCCAGAACCTAGAGAACTTCTTAACCTCCATTAATCCCCTGAAGGAGTTGCCACTTCCCCATCATTTTGAGGCAGGATTTTTGGGAAGAAATATTGGCTTAAAATAACAAAAACGGATCCAAAAAGTGATTACAGTTTTAAATTGATGTCTTCATTCATTCCAACCCGAACTAAACTAAATTCCAAAAAAAAATTAAAAAACATTTTACTAAAGTTAATCGATCGCATAACATTTTAGTATACCCCAATTATAAGATGGGAAACGCTTGATACAATTATAGTGGAGCGTTGGAATATTAAAAAGCTGTTAATCCTTAGAAAATATAATCCATTTCTAGATTATAAATATGCAATTGAATTAATAAAACATGAATATCACTTAAAATCGCAATTTCCATTAACGCAAATTGTAAGATGATTATATTACTGATCAAACAGGGTTGTCAAGTCGGTCAATTGACCCGTCAAATTCGGTCAATTGACAGAAAGAAGGAGTATTTGACCTGGTCAAATACTCTAAAATGTTATTGGTGAATAACTATATTTATTTAATGAACTAATATGTATTTAAAGCATATTTATCAATCTTATTTGTTTACAAATTATTTAAAAATATATTTGTATCATTAAGGCTTCGATTTAATTATAATTTTATATAAAAATATAAAATTTTCTTATTAAAATATTAGAATTTCAATTTGAAATATATAAAAAAAGAATTTTCTCATTAGTTATTTGATTGGATCTAAATAAATAAAGATTTTACTTAAGCATGGTTTGAGAAATTACGAATTGTTAATTTATATTACATTATGTACAAATATCCAAACAAGATGGGTATCATAAATAAAATGTAATGAGCAAATATAAATATGCAAGAAAGCACTGAAAGCAGCTGTTGAAGAAGTTGGATATTTGTCCATGAGAAATTATCAATAATATATTAAAATATTTTGGACAAAAAATTTTAAATTTTAAACTATTCATAAACATTTAGCTATCTCATTGACCTTAGCTTACGTATAAAAACAAGATGCTTAATTTAGAAAACACATAATACAATCATGTCCATGATTTTATAATTTACCAATCTAAAAAAAAATATTAAAGATAAGTTTGAAAAGAAAACAATTCAAATACATGTGCTCTCACTGCACTGCTGATTATTTATTGGATTTCCAATTAGTTTGATGAAGCATATGACATAATACAAAAATTAGTCGTTTCATAAAGAGATGATCATCAAAATATTTTAAGTGGAATCATAAATTTCAGAAGTAAAAGCGGAGTATTTAATAGCCAAAATATGTGGAACCAGTAACTTTCATAAAAAACAATCAGATTTCGGGCTCAAGTTGTTGGAATGGGCTTTGTTTACATTGAATATTAAGAGAAGTGTGTAAGAAATTCGATTGAAGATCTCGACAACCAGAAAATTGGTAGGAGTATATCATATAACTTAAGATTGATTAAAAAATGTTAAAGAAAATGATAAGATCGATTGAATATAAATTAGAACAAGGCTCTGCCATAAAGAGCGAAACATTCATTATAGAATTTAGAAAATTATTTAATAAACATACATTTTTTACTATAAATAGAATTAATATTGTCTTAAAAAACATTTATTTGAATTTGACCGGTTAAATATCGGTCAACGAATCTTATTTGACCGGTCAAATGCACAACCCTGGATCAAACTAAATAAAGTGGTAGCGCCTTATCTTCTTTTATGCGTCGAATGATAATATGGGGTTACGAGAAGAATAACAAGGATCTATACATAGAAGTACTTTGACGTGGGAATGGATACGTGATACGGCATTAAAATATAGGGAGGTGGGAAAAATGTAAAGGTTAGAGAAAAATTGAAGTATCCAAGAAGCTTCTTATTGAAAATGATTCTATAACCAAAGGTGCAACACCAATGGTCCCCAATAAATAATGGGATAGGGTTTTTAATTTGTGACACGCGTAACATCAAGGAATAGTAAAGCTGAGAAATGATTAGAGAGTGAGGGCATATGATGGCCATAGATGAATGAGAGTGAGACAATATATAAATTGAATAGGAAGTGTGAGACGTGATAAATGGGCGAGGGCGCCAGATTTAAAGATTATAGATAGTGTTGAGAATCGGTAAATAATCTGGAGGAGAGAGTACATGGAGATTTTTTTTAAGTATACAATTTTTAAAAAATGTGGTAATGGTTAATATTTTAAATGAGGTGAATGGAAAGTAGCAAACATATTAACAAGTAAAATAGCAAGAAAAAATAAAGGGCAATGATTGGGAAGATTTGAATTAATAAAACATTTTTATCAGGTGGGGTGTCGGTTGTTGCAAGTTAGCGATTCTATAAATCTATAGATTTTAAAATGCATAGTATGGAGTAGAGCCCTGCACGGCCTGTCAGAACCCTGCTCAGATACTGCCAGTCCGACCCGAGGCCATAAAGATAAATCCTAGAAATATCCTCAATAATTATTTTGCTTCATCGAAATGTCAATCAGAATTACGTGCCATTTTTCACCTAACGCATTTCACTTATTCATTTACATAATTTCCATTTTCTAAATTAACAATTTCCTGTGATTTGTGAAAACTTTATTACTTACATACATCATATTCTATCAGGTAAATATATTATAATTAAACTCAAATTCCAAATTTTTTTAGCCAGGCTTGGGCCGAGCTGGAACAAAAAATTTATTCCCGGACTGGGCTCCGTCACGAATTTGTGTAAATTCGGGCTCGGGATCGGGTTCGAGCCGCTAATAATTATTTTGCAAGGCTCTAGTATGAACCCTCATATTATTTTAGCTTAATAGACTAGTAAAGAATAGCAGGGTTAGTAATATCATAGTTGAAGAAACTTAGGAAAGAAAGGAAGGGTAGAGTAATGTTTGTATGTCTACTATTACGAAATTTTTACTATATATTCCAAAAATGTCTATATGTAGAATATTTTTCGCTTTCCCAATACTTTTTTTTAACGCAGGCTTAGTCATTACAAGTATCTCGCTTTCTACCTAACTTTTCTATCTCTTCTATCCCTAGCCACCATATATGAGCTCTTTCTAATATTTTCATCCTTGCATTCCTTAATGGTTCGCGTGCAATAAGTTCAATACCTTATGTCGTAATCTATTGATGAGATATCATTCATATGGAACGACATATCTCTTTACGAAATTTATAATAAATAAGAGTCAAAATGATATATTTTACAAAAACAACTGAGTAAGATAGAGAGATAGAAAGAAAAACATATATAAACGATATAAAAAGTTTACACATCTTTTATCTTATTTATCCATTTTATCAAATTCGTTTCGCCTAAAATATAACTCTTAAGATTTTTTGAATTCCTTTGGCGAATGCACCTTTACAGCTAATAAACACATTGACCAATTTAAATAATATTTCATTTAAAAACTCAAGGCACTATTACTAATGATCCTTTAATTAAACATATTAATATAATTTAACTATCAACTATCTAAGATGAACCCGAAGCTCAACATTCCAATTTGGTGGGGGAGATGATTTGGAACTTTGCCGATTTCGAGACCGATCAAACTATAACGAGGGTCGGAGGTAACAGGAAAGGAATTTTCACGAGGGATTCTAGGAGCCCCAAGATGGCCAGCCATACCCTGAGAAAGAGGTATTGGAGCATCGCCAAGGAAGACCAAGACAAAATTATCGCAATTTTATCAGGGGGGTGATTTAATCTTTAATAAATTTTATATAATTCCTTCAATTTGGTTAGTTATATTTTTATATAAACTTGTTTTAATATAAAAACAATCATTTATTTTTTAAGAAACTAATTATGAAATAAGAAATTTAATTTTTTAAAAAAAATTGATAATAATCTGAGAAAGTGATGATTTATATTCTTTGTAAACCACGGGTTGAAATGACTTTCCTCCTCGTCTTTAGGAGAAATTTTCAATTATATACAATAAAATTATTCAATATTAGCCATCTTTATAATTATAAGATTTAATTATATTGTTATCACACTAGTCATGGCTCATAAAGGAAATTTGTATTCGATGTCAAGAATATTAATCATTTCTCTAATTATAATTCTATATTTATGTTCTGTGAAAATAAATTATACAAAATCTGATTTTATACTGAACTATTCTAATTTAATAAATTATGATTAAATTTTTTTTCCATTAAATTAACGTATTTTATACCTCAGATTGATTGAACCCTAACCAAAACAATTTATTATTTTATTTCAATTTAAACAAACTGAAAATTATGTTTCAATTACTTTAGTTAAGCTTCAACCATACTCATTTAAAGCATAAGATAACATTTAAATAAATTATGTGAATCTATATCTAAGACATATTTTTTTGCAAGAATTTATATCTAGATCCTTTTTCATGCTTAACTTTGAGAACAAATAATTATTTGAAATAGATTGTGATATGTCAATTGTTTTATATAGTAAAAATAAGTTTATAAACCAAGAAGAATATAATGGAATTGAAGATGTTTTGAGAAAATGATATGTGAACAGATTTATGTCATGTGCTCTTTGCATATTTTGTCTATTATTTTGCATGGTTTAGTAATTTTTGGGCAAGTTTAAAATTTTCCCTACCTTTTACGCCATTCTGTGAGGTTTAGTAATGATGATGTAATTATAAACCGAACCGATATAAATTTTTTCAAAAAAACCCGAAATGGAACAAAACCTTTATAAAATTTTATACTAAAAACCGAACCGCTATCGAAACCCGGCTTAGGATAATGATTTAAAATTTTGCCTTTGGTAATTTTAACACGAATATTATGATTTTGGTAGTTGTGGGATGAATATAAATAAATATTTTAAACGAAATTTAAAATAGATATTTTCCGATATATAATTATATCGGTGTCCTATAGGTGCAGAGGTATTTAATATTTTGATTATTTTTCATTTATATACCAAAGAAAAAGAGTAAATTTGCGTTCATAAATATATTTTATATTGTATAAAATAAATATTAATTAATCTCTAAATTAAATTATTATTTTTTATAGTTTTCTTAGCCCAGTTGGAGTATTTTTTAAAATTTAAGCCAGGCTCCTAGCATTTTTAACAAATTTTTAAACCCAGTCCTGGTAAAAAAATACAGCCTGCAGGTCTCTGATTTATATACTCGTCAAACAAAGCTAAATTTTTTTAAAAATATTAAAGTAGTAAAATCAAAATATTTGCTCCAATGAAATTATTTTTGACTACTCAAGACGATTTTTCAGTGTAATCAAGATCAAAAAAATATTTATTATGACTTCTTTTAAATTAAAAATAATGTCATATATATTATATATATGTCATATTGAGATATGGAATTCATGGTAGGGTCACTAGCTTTTACAATCTCAGTGGGCTCAGAAAAAATTTTTAAATTTTTTGAAAATTACCTTCTTTTTTTTAGCTAACATTATCCAAAACTACCTCTTTTTTTAGCTAACATTATAATTACATTTAGTATTTTTATAAAAATCAAAATTTTAGGGGGCTCTTCAAATTTTTCAGGGAGCTCGAGCCCCTGCCACCCCCCCCCCCATTGTGATGCTACTTATTTATGGATATTTGGAATCTATATGTTTTAAATCATTTACCGAGGGAAATTTTTAAATGTTAAAAATCTGATTTGACTAGAAATGTATTCCAGCATGTAAAGAATGCCCCACTGTAAATTTCTGACAATTTTCGCTATAAGGAAATATATATAAATTAACGGTAGTTTTAAAGTTCACTGCAAAATTATCTGAAATTCACAGTGTGGGTCACTATATACATGTCGATATACATTTCCGGTCAAATCATATTTTTGAGATTTAAAAATTCATCTCAGTAAATGATATATAAAAATAAAATTATACTTTCAACTTGAATCAATATAGCAATGTGGCGACTAAAATTTGAATGAATATTTTATTTGCTATATCCTTTAAAAGTAAATTTAGTCCATTAGCTGCACACCCAATGCAGTCGGTAGTTGGATAGTTATTTCTTTAAGTTTCCATATTTTCTTCATATTGCTTGCATTATCTGTTATTATGATATGATTTTTGTTTTCCTATTTCTTTAATTACTTTTAATTTGTAGAAAATTGGACTTGGGATGATAAAATTTATAATACATTCCCACTTTTACTTGTCCACTCGTTATCACTAATAAGGAACAAATTTTTATCTGAACTTTAGGTTACTATATTTTCAATTCTTTTAAATTAACAAATTTCTATTGAGTAAATATCTAGATGTATTTTAAATGTAAATTCTTAAGATATTTAATAATTGAGCCTTATAATTCCATATTAATTATAATTTTTTTAAAAAACTATATATTATATAAATTTTATTCCTATTAATTATAAATATATTCTCTAATATCGGCATTTAGACGAGTATCTTGTAAAATTTTAAATTCTTTATTAATATTATATTTTATAAATAATGTAACAAATTTAATACCATCCATATCTATACAAATCAAAAAATATATAAATATGAATTTAAAAAACTTCCATAAATCTTTCATTTCGTTTTCTTTGGGCTGTATTTTTATTTAAAAAAATTTCATTTGCCCGCGTTGGTTCCTTTTCGATATGTTGACACATCTGAAATCCATTCCAAATATGATGGTCCATTAATCCAGTTAAGAAATTTTTAAAATTTTTCATTAGGAATATCTTATTGTTGAAGCCCATAATATTCATTATTTAAATCTTGGCAGATTCTTTTTATTTGCTTTCCGCCAAATCACACATCTAGGGTCTAAGGCCAATTTCTTTTTAAATTAAGGTATATATCGGAAAGAATTTCTTACATAAATAAATAAGTTTTATTAAAATTTATTCAAGTCATTATACTCTCGTTTTCAAAGCTATCCATTAGATGTGACTGCGTGATATTTTAGAAAAATTAGAAATTGGCCTATTTTTAATCTTACTAGTTTTGGATTTTTTAAAGTATATTTTTAAATAAAAGTCAAATTTCGGAATCTAGCGACATCTGTAAATATTTACCTATAGGCAAAGTATATATGAGAGTGGGAGTATGAAAGATTTTTTTCCATTTTTTTGAAGGGGTAAGGAAGTAGGCATTTAAGCAAGTGTAGGGTAAAGTAAGAATAAACTCTATTTATAGAATTAAAGATAAAAATAACTGATAAAATTTAAATTTATTAATAAATATTTATTTCTCATTTTACAGATAACATTTTAGTAGTTTGAAGTTGTACACATGCGGTACTATTGTTTAACTAGTTGATTATTACCAACTAATATTTATTTGTAATTCATTGCCGAAATAGTCATGAAGTCTGAAAGAGTTTAATTAAAATTTTTCGAGGTTATAAATTGTGGCTTATTATAAGATTTGTAATTAATATCATGGGGTGGTTAGATCATAATGGATAAATAAGTATTGCGGGCGATGGCCGTACAATTTTTTTTATGGGATAGGGATAGATTTTGGAGAGTATTTGCTGGCACGCCTTTCATAACGGCGGCGCATGGCCGGTGCTTAATTTTTCAAAAGTAATTGTAATATTTTATACATTCTTTTTCTAATGATTAGTCAGTTGCGATATGTCAACAGAATAAATACCTAATTACAATAAATCATCTGATACGCTAGATCTTGATAGTACTTATCCATATACCCTGATGCGCTATTTTAAATTGGTGCTTCCAATGAATTAGCAAGAATGCGACTCAAATGAGAACATTAAAACTAAATGTCCCAACCAGATGGCACAGTATATTATTTATGCTTAAAAGCATATGGAACTGATAAAAATCGAATTAATATTAGATCTCGTAGAAGAACTATTGATTTTTCTTTCGAAATTTAAGAAATAGATTGAATTTCTATCTTCATAAAACGAGCCTACATTGAACTTGGCATTACTTTTCAGAAGTAAAATAGCAACACACTGTTTTAATATTCAGATGAATACTTTTAAAAGAAAATGTTTTATTTAAATTAGAATTATTAGGATATTATTTAATATTATAGACTATGTTTTGAGATTTTGTGAATATTAATACACTTTTCAGTTTTTGGAAACTTATTATTTTTAACCATAATTTTTATATTTACTATAATCTTTTATAATATTAATTTAGTATATTTTTACTTTATAATTTATTATTTTATAATTAATTTAGATGAATAAAGGAAACATAAATTATGTTAATGTTTCAATCTTCATTATTTAATCTATTATCTTTTTTATTTCAACTATGTTTTTTTTAATTGTGCTCAAACCTTTCAACTCTAGACACACTTAATAATGTGTGATAATTATAGCTTGGAAAATATTTCATTTAAGGAAAATTGTTAAATAAATTTGTCTTACTAATTCCTGTTTGCGATCTGGAAGAAATTGTATTTAATTTACTTTTTATTTCAAAACATATATAGGCGTTGGCTTCTCTCCTAGACCTAAAATTAAAAAAAAATTAAAATGACAAAATCTAATAGAGCAAAATTGCAAATTGTCGTAACTTATTATTAAACATATAAACTTATAAATTTTTATGATATAAGATTAATAAATATAGAAATTGAAAATCAAGAGGAGATATCAAATACAATTTTTTGAAAAGGTTAGCAAATAAACATCTTATAACAAATACAATGGTTCCACTTTAAGTGACTTAGAACAAGAATGTTATTCTTCCAAAAAAACGCTATTCACAGGATATGAAGAGAAATGAGAATCAAACTTACGAATCTTACCACCTTAGCCTAAAAAACCTGTGTTCCGGCAACTAGCATACTTATAGAAAGGGAAGAGATTATTTTATGTTTAGCAAATTTAAATAAAATTATTTTTATTCATGATAACTATAAAACTAAATAATTGAGTTTTATTTTATTTAATATTTGCAATTAAGATCTAAAAATATACTGATATTTCTGTATATATTTTAATTTTGTTTTTCTTAAAAAAATTAGATTAATAATTAAAAATTTATATATTATAAAAATTTGCTGTCGGAGCACCGATCTGCGCCGCAGGCTGCCAATTGGATTTTTAAAACAGGTGCCGATCACCTATAATTTTTTCGGCGCACTGGCCTACATATAGGGTAAATTGAATGTTAAAAAATCAGTAGAAGAAATTTTTTTTGTTTTAAATAAATTAAATAATCAACTTATATCGATATTTCAATTACCAAATGAAATATATGACTTACTTAATATTTTTTGTTAAAATTTTGATGATATGATAATTAAGGAATTCACAGTTAAATTAAAATGGTTTCTTGAAGTAGAATTTATAAAAGATAAAAAAGTTGAAATAAAAAAGGAACTAAAATTAGTACAACCTCAACTTAAATATGAGCAAAATTATAAATAACAACATAATAGTATAAATTATTAAAATGAATATTATCATAATAAATGTAAAGATTCAAAGTGTAATATTTTTTAAAATGTTAATTAAAAAAATAAAAAATATAATAATATATATTAAAAAAATAAAATAATATTTATTTAAAAAAAACGTAATTAATACATAACAATAATTACAACAAAAATATTTTAAAAAACAAATTACAAAAAATAATGAATATTAAAAAAATATAATATTAGTAAATCACAAAGCATGTGTGATGAACTAAGATGGAATAGTGTTTCGAATAAACAAAGAGACCTATATTTCTTGCATTTTCTGATTTCTTGGAGTTCCAAGAGATCAGAGTTTCTATTAGCGGTAAATGAGGTAGCACATGACACATCCCAGACAAGTCTTTTACCACCAAGCCAAGATGTTAAAGACATTCCATCGGGACGCTTACCATCCTCATTTAGGAGGCCTAAAGGCTCCAAACTATTGGGGAAACCGACCAAAATCAAAAATTTACCGATCAACCTATTTATATTGTCCTGTCGCAGAAAACGGCCAATGACTTTAAAAGGCAAGAGAAACAATGTCTAGAAAATGTATCAACTTGCTTATTGCAGGCAGCACAGATGGTATAAGACAACCTAGCCTATGGCAATTGCAATTTGAAACTCATCGTTTGTGAGAAACATTTCCTTTTTTCCATTCAGGATCTCGTCTAACCATTCATGGCCGTTAGGATTTGTTTTTTCTGAGTAATTAAAGGCTAGTTAGATCAGGACACAACAAAGTTTTTCAAATGCACATATAGCATAGGAACTAGAAAGCTCTTTAAATGGCTGGAAACGGGGTGCTCATATCCTTGCAGAATTTGAGTAAGTCAAGAATGTTTGGTCAAAGTTAAAAGTGTATCGTTCAACTCAATAAGCAAGGAAATAGAATCGTTAAAGGATATCCGAGAAAAAAGAAAACAAGCAATTGCCATTAAATTGGGGAATGAGAATTCAATTCCACCTTAGTAAGCAGACAAAGAGGCAAATAACCAATTAAAATTAGAAAACTTAGTCTATAAGAGATTCAATAAAATGTTTAAATTTTAATTCGAAGGACGTAAGGAGGGAATTATATTGGAAAGCCAAGTAATATTAAAAGATGTGCAAGAATTTAGGTAAGAAAAAACATTTTTTGGTGAAGAAGAAAAATTGATGCTTGGGAAGATGAGGAAGATTCCTTAGCGAATTAAAAAGAGATTGTATCAAATTGTCAAAATGACAAAAGGAAGTTAAAAAGCCGAGGAGAACCTAGCAAACAGAGTCTCATGGGGAATAATTTTAAAATCTAGGGAGGGATAAAATCTTTATTGTTGAGGAAAGATATTTCACTTTTTTTTCTATTCAAGGAAAAACCAATTTTCTAAGATTCTATTTCAGCGTACTCGATGGCCGATATAACATTGGGTAAAGATACCAAAAGAGCCATTGTCGAGATTCATAAATTAAGGTCTAATTTGAAATCAGGCTTTAAATTTTTGATCAAATCGTGAATACTTATAGTGAAAAGCAAGGGACATAGTGGATCACCTTACTGAATCCTCTTTTCAGGAAATATTCAAAATTTTCCGAATTTGAGCAACGAGGGAAATCCATAGCAGGAATTAAGGAAATTATTTGGGGAAATGTTGTAGGATGGAGGGTAGAAATGAGCTCCTTGAATGCTGTTGTAGGCATTTCTGAAGTCTATTGCAGAAAACCTTATCCGCCTCAGTGTCTACAAAAATACAAGATACATGTGAGGCCACTTCGCACCCACCTCTAATTCCAAAACCTAACTAGTAGTAGGGAGCTGACCTTAGATCGGATTTTATTTACTATAACCTTGGCGACTAATACGAAAAAATGACTATGGCTATGAGTCTATTACCACCATCCAGTTTGGTTAAATAAACAAGACGTGCACCAAAAAGAATAGGTCGTATACTAAGAGAAGAGGAACTTCGCGTATAAGGATATTATTCAAAGTTCGGTTAATGTTTAGTAAAGGGTAAATAAAACCACTATCAAAGCATTGGATTGAATCAACAAAAAACCTGGTCTGAACCCGTCTAGACCACCTATCGTCCCTTTTTTAAAGGGCTTTAAGCATTTAAGAACTTAATCACAGGTAAAGGGAATGGGAGAAGAGCCATGCTGGTGAATGTTAAAAGGGGACGCCAATAGATGTTTTTCGAGAAGTTGTTGAAAATAGCGTTGATAGGGGAAATAGTCATCAGAAGTGAAAATTCGGGCAGCATCGTTAATATCTTCAATGTCCAATTTTTCAGAGAACAATTTACAGCGGAAAGAGTTAGGATTTAAAGAGTTGATGGAGTAAATTCACCAATAATGGTATTATCAAAATTAGACACTTTCTCTTTAATTGCGGCAGATAAATTATTTATTTAATTTTTGTTTAACTAGAATCGAAAATACAAACTAATCCCGTCTAACCATAAGGCTGTTGAGAAGAAATCTGAATTCAAATTATTTATATATGACGTGAGGAACTTTGAAATCGATTCTCGGGCTGCTATAGGGATCCTAGATAGAACTGGGGGCTTATGTGAAATGATTATTTTAAACACACATGGCAACAAGCGTTTACCAATATATAACTTTGGATGGGAGCTTAATGAAATATAATGGTAAAAAAAAAAATTGTAGTATATGAGGAAAAATTTTTTTTATATAAAAGTAAAAAAGAATACTATTTTATTTATGGAGAGATTTAAAGATATATAAGAAAATTTGAGTCTTGGAATATAAAAAAAATTTAATTTATTGCTCAAATGATTGTGAGGATTAAATATGTTCAAAAAATATATGCATGTAAAAAGAAAATTTATGATGTGTAATATAAAAAACATAGACGTAGCCAGGATTTTCTAAGGGGGGGGGGGAATTATTGCCCGGCCTTTGGCTTGGTTACCTTGGTCTATATATACTCAAAATATTTTTACATAGGAGGTTAATTTCATTAAAAAAATAAGCCTGGAACATATATGAAATATATTTTTATTAGTTTATATAAAATATAATAAATTACCTGTATATACATTAATATAAAAGCATGGTAATAATTTATTCCAAACAAGTATAAGAAATTTATTTAGAAAAAGTAAGTAGACATATAGTATTCCTTTATTAATAGAATTAGTTACAAAATATTAGGTAAAATTCCACTTTTACAGACATATTTGACAGTTAGAGAATATATTACAGTTAATATTTTAACAAATTTTACTAATCAATGCTCTTGATAATAATAGCAACAATTTGCATTTTATTTTAAATAAAATATTAAAAATTAATCTTCATATTATTCATCCCACGATGTCTTTAAAAATTTTCTGATGTTCTTATCAATATTTTATAGTTTTCTGTAAAATATATAATTCTCTATATTGGTAAAAATTACTTGATTGTCATATGAAATTGATAAAATTAGATATACTGTAAATCTACGACATATAATATTCCACTGTTTGTATTGTGCTTTAATTTTTTTATTTAATTTATGATTTAATTTTATCAGTAGTTTTATAATTATATTTTACTTTTATTAAGATAATAAATTAAAATTACTCACTTTATAAAAAATTATATTTGATATATTATATTATTTAGTAATTTTATGGATCTATTATTAATAATTATAATACATTTCACTTTTGTCTTAAGACTTATCTTTGCCTTATTTTCCATTTCTTAAATAACATTTTTGGTTCACTTTTTTTATATATAAATGCCTTTTTCCAAAATGTATAAATTATGATGAATAGTTTTATAAAAAATATTAACTTTTATATTCTTTCTTCCAAATTATTGTTTTAGATATATGCATACAATTTTGGGGGTCAGGGAGTGGGGGGTGGACTAAGGGGGATATTTTTTTATTAGTTTAAAATGATATTCACAAAAAGGGTTAAATTTCTGAAGAGGGGGGGGGGGATTTCCCCTTGCCCCACACCCCCTGGCTACGCCTATGATAAAAAATAAATGTACAATATAAGTGTTAAATTAGTTGAAAGGTTAAATGTTATTAAAGTATCTATATGTGAATTTATTTGATAGTTAAAGTTTTTTTAAAAATATATATGTATATTAGATAACTTCTGGTGTATAAAAAAAAGATAGCAATGCTTGATTCTTCTCCATTTTATGGCGATTTCTAGATTTACCCGGGTAGGCCAGTTTTCCCTCTGATTTTTCTTTTCCATTTTTGACGGTCCTGAGCATCAATACTTGTAAGATTCATGCTTCTCATATCCGCCGCTATCACATTTGTCCAAGTCATCTTGGGTCTTCCTCTAGGTCTTGATCCTCCTACTTCCATCATTGTGCATCTCTTTACCCAGTCATCTCTTGTCATACGTTCCACATGCCCAAACCATCTTAGTCTATTTCGTCGCATTACCATACCAATCATTTCTATACCTAATCTTGCTCGCAATTCCTTGCTAGTTTTTCTCTCTCAGAGATACCCCACACATCCATCTAACCATCCTCATCTCTGTTCTTTCTAATTTGGCTTCGTGAGTTGCTTTCATTGCCCATGTTTCACCACCATAAACTAAACAACTCCTCACACAGCTTACGCAAACTTTCCCCTTTAACTTCAGAGAAACTTCTTTATTTGTAAGAATAGACGACATCTCTCTGAACTTCTTCCAAGCTTGTCTGATCCTTGCAACAACTGCAGAATCTACACCACCATCTGCGTTTAGCATATCACCTAAATAACAAAACTTATTCACTTTTTCTAGGGTTAACCCATTGCCAATATCCAGACCACCAATTTTTAGGTTATCATTATTATGTATCCCTTTCATGCATGTTTTACAAATAAAGGTCATTCTTTCTAACATCAAACTGCCCTTTTTCCCGCTACATCTTTTATGTACCCATTTCTGGCATCTGGTGCATTGGATAGAATTTCTAGCAACTCCTTTCCCACATACACCACAAGGCCATTTACCGGATTCTTCCATCTTTAGATTTTCCCCACCAATCATCACCTTTGTTTTTGATGCATTCATTTTCAGGCCCTTTGCTTCCATAGTCATCTTCCATTTACTAACTTTATCCCTCAATTCTCCCTCACTGTTTGCCATTATTATAAGGTCATCTGCATATAATATCTCCCAGGGAAGTCCTTCACCGATTTCTCTAGCCACCACATCCATTACTAAGATAAATAATAATGGACTCAGCACGGATCCTTGATGAAGTCCTACCTTCACCTCAAAGCTCTCACTATCACCATAATCCGTCCGTACTGCTGTTTGTGCTCCAACATACATTGCCATCACTGCGGTAACCAACCATTCCTCCACACCGGATTTTCTCAAGGCCCATCTTGTAATCTCACGCGGCACCCTATCAAATGCTTTCTCCAAATCAACAAACGCATAATAGAGTTTCTTTTCCTTCGCAAGATACTTCTCCTGAATTTGTCTCACCACAAAAATTGCATCTGTCGTGCCTTTTCCCGATGTAAAACCAAACTGCATTTCATCAATTTTAATTTGTTACCTTAACCGCTTCTCTAACACTCTCTCAAATACTTTCATTGCATGTTCCAAGAGTTTAATAGCTCTGTAAGACCCGCAATCTAAAGGATCACCTTTCCCCTTGTATACTGGGATAATTATACTTCTTCGCCAGTCCTCAGGAATAGTACCTTCTGTGACAACCTGATTTACTAAAATCATTAACCATTCAATCCCTAAATCATCAGAACCTTTAAACATCTCTGATACCACCATCGTTAAACCCGATGCCTTCCCTTTCTTCATCTTTATCACTGCTCTCTTTATCTCGTCCTTGCCAAATTTACACCCTGGACCTTCTACCTTTGCACAACTAATATTATTATTCCATTCATTTTCTTCATTCAAAAGTCCTTTCATGTAAATCTTCCAGGTGTTCTTAATACCACTACTATCAATCGTCATTTTTCCTTCCATATTTTTCAAACACTTTAATCCTGCCTCTTTTTTGACATCTGTTTTGCCATTCTAACCATATTTCCAATTCCATCAGCGCATTCCATTTCTTTAGCAAACTCGTGTCTTTTTTCTTCTTGAGCCTTCGCTATTAATTTCTTAGCATTTCTTTTAGCCATCTTGTAAATATCATTATCACTATTTTCTTTGCTATTATACCATACTTTGAAACACCTCCGTTTCTCATCCACGGCTTTCGCTACCTCCGGGCTCAACCTCCAAGTCTCCCTATGTCTAGGTGGCCCTTTTGTCCATCCACATACCTCCTCAGTTGTCATTACCCAGGCTTTCTTCATGGCTTCCCACTTGTCATTCACCCCAGATGCTTGTGCCACCTCCGCCTCCCTAGTCGCCAATGCCATATTGAATTGACGTCTAGCATTCTCCTCCTTCAATTTCCAAACCTTCAGCCTTGGGACAAACTTTTTTTTAGTGACCCTGGCACCTTTAAGAGTGAGATCTCCTACAACTAATCGATGCTGATTTATACATTCCTCTCCCGGTATCACTTTCACATTTTTTACTATACATCGATCACATCTCCTTAATAACAAGTAATCCACAGCACTTTTGGTATTACCCGACTTATAAATCACCAGCTTCTCTTATTTCAATAAAAAATATGATTGCTGTTGATCCCTGTAATGTGGGTTGAGTGCATATTCTTGTTTAAAGGATTTATTTAGGATATCATTCATTATTACATTAAAAATAATAGGCAAGAGAATGCATTTTTGTTTAAGGCCCCTATTTGCTTTAAAAGGTTGTGATTTTACATTTAGATGTTGAGGTACTACGCTATGATTGTCATAAATTATCTTAATTAGCGATATCAGATGCTTATCTATTCCTATGTTTTCCAGCAAGGGCCATATCTTGTGAATGGAATCGAAGGCTTGACTTAAATCAATCATTAGGGCAAAGATGGGGGATTTAGGCATTCTTGCCTTTTCCAGAATAACTTTAAGTGCCATAGTCAACTCCGTAGTATTTCTACCCTTCCTGTATGATGTGATAGTGTTAGAGAGGAACCTGTTGATGATTGGTTTAATCCTGACAGATATAATGTATGTGGACATTTTTAGGGTAACTGGAATCAGTGCAATTAATATATTCATTTATATTTATTTATAACTGACTGATAGCCCGTTAAGAATGATGGGGAATCAGAATTTTCTCCATGGATAAATAGTAAATTTTACCTTTATTCGACGATGGATGAATCAGAATAGTCAAATGAGAGGAATAGATTATCCGTATTCCTTCTTCCAAGATTTCTATAAATTTTTAGAGAAAAGGCCATATATATTATGGAAAATATGGAACAAAAAAATATGATTTGTGAGTCTGCATTTACAGCGGCATGAGGGTTTATATAGATAGTTCGGAATTTTTTAAAATTCTTCGACCTTGTCAATTCTTTTAACAAATTTTTCACATCTAGACGCAATGGTTTTTGCACTATCACTTCGTATAAAATCTACACTCATCTCAAAGAATCGTTTAAATACTTTTAAAAACTTCCTAAATACTCTTTTAAAAAAAGACCTGCCAGCATAGATTCGAATCAATTATGGGGAAAGATTATCTCACAAATATTGTGGTGGTATCCACCCCATTGCAATTGGCTATTTAGAAGATTATTAGCAAAATATTTACCACGGGTCAAAACCCAGGGTCTTAACTTATTAAGTATACGTATCAATTAAGATTTGGTGGGAAAGCAAAAATCCTCCTCCTAACATGTCTATTATCAAAATAGACCTTAAAAATGCTTTCAATAGCAAATTTCGCGAACATTTCATAAATTGTTTTTATTCAAAATTCCTAGAGATATATTGTAACATTAAAACCCTTTATTCATCTCACATATCATAGATTCTGACAAAAGGATCCAGCAGGTACACACGTCCTCGTTTATTTTACCTTGGTATTCATGATCTCATCCTTTATCTTAAATCTAAATTTAATTTGGATATAAATATTTGGTATCTTGATGATGGAACAATCTGTGATGCTCTTCCTAAAATAATTGGTTTTTAATTTCTTGAAGCCAATTTTAAATGACTCATTATTAATAAGTTTAAATCCAAAATCTGTTTCCATGATAACAATATACAAAACTCTCATCTAACAAGATTAAATTATTTATTGACATAAATAATAAAATTTTAAAATAAAGTATATTCAAACATGTTTCAAATATTTGTTCATATTGAATGATTTAAGTATATACATATATTTATATATATATACTTCATTAACATATTTTATAAGAATAATGTAAATTTTAGAATTAAAACTCTTATCAAAATATGGTAAATTTCTGATTCACACCTCATATAGGTTTCTTTCTGATTTATCCATCATCAAATTAAGGAGAAAATACTAATTCCTTCTCATTCTTGTGGTATATCAGCTAGTAATCATATAAAATGCAAATATTTATTAGATTGTGGGAATGGATCCTTCCTTAAGGTTTTTTTTATAATGGAAATCACAAAGCCTCCTTGGTAAATTGTTATCCACACAGTTTTCAATAAGTTTGCATCTTCTCATGATATGGATCTATTCTTAAAAATGATCTTTATTATAAGAAAATAAATTTTGATACAGGTACAGGGGTCAGGCCTTATTTTATTTTTTATATATATCCGGGCCAGGTCTAAAATTTTTAAAGATATCCAGGTCTAGCTATATATTTTAAATAGCCATTATTATCTATAAAAATTGAAAATAAATATAATATATTTTTTAAAAATCCAGACCAGGCCATGTCAAATTTTTTTTTTTAAATCCAGGACATGCTGTGGAAATGGTACCTACAGGTCTCTGTATATTTATTACCTTCAATATAAATATATAATCGGAACATATGAATTTTCATTATTAATTTCATAAAATCTAAAAATTGTATTTATGTGATCCATAAAAAAATATTCCTAAATGAATTTTTATACATTTATTTGCAATTTAAAACCTAAAAAATGTATTCTTGATAGATGAAGGTTTTGCCTAACTTAAACCAGTCTATATTCTGTGTATAAACTGAAAGATATTGGGTTGGTGAGTGGAAGGGTTAAAAAATATTTTTAAAACAATGGGCAGGTGAATTTGAAATATATTTCAGGCAAAATGAGCAACTGACTTCTATTTATTATTATATATCATTTTTTTATTTCATAATTAGTAATACACACAACCAATATAATAATCTTTAAACATTGGACAAGAAGTTAAACCAAATTTTTGAATAAATGAATAAACAGGTGCACCAAAACCTGCCCATTGCAGACCTTTAGTCAGAATGACATCGGAAACAGCACATCATAATGGATTTTACCTCTGCCAAAGAATCCATTTATAAATGCGTATGCCACTTTTATTTTCCCATCACCAGAGGTCTGAAAATGGCAACATTTTCAGGCCCAACGAGAATTTAGTTAATGCCCATCCCAAGTTTTGCTTGGTCCAATTGTAATTTTTTTAAAGATTGTAACAAAAATATATAATTGTATAAAATGCAAATATTTATTAGATTGTGTGAATATTTATTGGATTACACAAAGTATTCCTTGTTATTTGTTCTCCAGAGTTTTGTGATTTTATTCATGTAAATAAAATTTGTTAAAAATTATACTTTTGGAAAATGAATATTTTACCTGCGCCTAACTTGCCATTTTTTGCAGTAGAAAGAAAAATTGGTAAAATTTATGAATGAGAAAATCATTATTTTCATATCATTTTTTTCCAATTAGCTCTTAAAGCAAAATCATAAATTTTATATCATTTTGAGATCCAATGTGAAATATTTATTAATAGAAAATCATCTGCAATATAAATTACCAATATCTTAACATCTTCTGATAAGGAATCTTGGATTGAGTATATAAAATCATCGCCATTAAATATAAAAAATAATCTGTAAATCACATGATAAAATTATTATTGACTTAAAACTGCTATGATGATTATCAATTGACAAATATTTTTTAATAGAATACTTTTGGCTTGACTTTTTAAGAGGATTATATATATTATAGATGCATTCCTTACTACATAACTTCAACTTGATTAATAAAATAAATGGGCAAGTAATTAGAAGAAAAAATAAATACATTTAGGACATATAATTATTTAAATATTTTTAAATGGAAAATGAAATTGCTGAAATAGTTTTTGTCAAACGGCAGGATCTGATCTGATTTTTTTAAAAAGCCTAACTTAATATTTTATCTAGAAAAATATGATGCAAGCTTAAAGATTTTGATAATAGATGGCACACAGGTTTGGACATCTATTAATTGCCATCTATTAATAGAAACTCAAGGCTTAGGCAATATTTTTCTGGCTAAAATATTGAGTTAGCTTTTTTTTTAAATCAGCTCAAATCGAGCCATTTAACAACATTATGCTGGAGGATAGAATAGCTCCATTTAATATTTTGGTGTAGTTGAGCATAAATTACATTTAACTTTTACTATATTATTTATTATATTGTTAAT